AATGTATATGGGTGTTTTGTCTGCATATATGTATATGCACCATGTACATACTGTGCCCAAGGAGGCCAGAAGAGACTATCAGATTCCCTGAGAATACCCACCATCATATGGGTGGTAGGAATGGGTCATGGGTCCTCTGAAAGAAAACCTGAATTTTAATTTCTCACATTCTTTTTTTGTTTCTTTTGTTTTGTTTTCAGGCAGTTTTGCTATTTGCCCAGGCTGGACTTTAACTTGTGATCCACTTTCTTTGCCTTCTCATAAGCTGGGATTACAGATAGACCATATGCCTAGTACTTTCTGTCAGTGTGTCTGTCTGTCTCTGAGACAGTCATATAGTTCAAGCTAGCCTTGAACTGTTAGTCCCCCTGCCTCTGTCCCTTAGACATTAGGATTACAGGAATGTACCACATTCAGTTTTATGTGACGCAGGTTTGAACCAAAGGCTTCCTGCATGCCAAGCAAACACTCTACCAACTGAGGTATGTCCTCAGCCTTTTCTTTTTAAATGGTAGATATTCTGACGGATAGTCCATGGTCTTTTTTGTTATTTATTTGTTTATTTTTTGAGACAGGGTTTCTCTGTGTAGCCCTGGCTATCCTGGAACTCACAATGTAGATCAGGCTAGTCTCTAACTCACAGAGATCCTCCTGCCTCTGACTCCCAAGTGCTAGGATTAAAGGTGTGTGCCACCGTGCCTAGCTAGGTTTTTTTGTTTTTGGTTTGTTTGTTTGTTTTTGTTGGTTTTTTTTGGTAACTTTGGCTTGCATTTCTTTGATATAGTGAGCGCTGATACTGTTTTACATGCATATTGGCCCATTTGTATGTCATCTTTGGAGAAATGGCTACTGAATTTCTTTACCTGATTTTTAATCTAATTTTGTGCTGTTTTATTTGCATCCCCTTTGCTGTGATTCACTTTCACGTTTCTGTCTTTCCTGTGTTTTCAGATTTACATTTCTGACAAAATCATACTTAGTGTCTTTTTGTCTCAGAAATTACAGCTCTTCCCCCCGGAAGATCTTAGTCTTTTTCATGTTACTACTTCTAGTTCAGCATGGGCTTGCACTATGTAATGTTCGTCAAGCTGGAACTCACTTTATAGAGCAGGCTGGCCTCAAACTTTGGATGATCCTCCTGCTTCCGCCTCTTCAATGCTGAGATGTGTATGTGCTATCATACCCAATGTATCTTTATTTTTGAACATATAGCATATGGCGGTAATAGCTATATAAATGTCCTTCTATTTCATTTGAATACAACATTCTAGTTGTACTTAATCTTGATTGATGATTCTGTTCATTATGAGTTGTTTTCTGCCTCTTTTGCATACTTGCTATCTTATAAAAGAAAGCATTTCATTGGGACTTGCTTACTTCAGAGGTTTAGTTCATTATCATCTTGGTGGGGAGCATGGCAGTATGTAGGCAAGCACTGGAGCAGTAGCTGAGAGTTCTACATCCTGGTCCACAGGCAGAGAGTCTGTCTGGGCTTGACATGGGCTTTTATTTAATTTTATTTTATTTTATTTTATTTTATTTTATTTTATTTTATTTTATTTTATTTATCTATTTATCTATCTATCTATCTATCTATCTATCTATCTATCTATCTATCTATTTATTTTTGACAGGGTTTCTCTGCGTAGCCGTGGCTGTCCTGGAACCGTCTCTTTAGTCCAGGCTGTCCTCAAACTCAGAGATCCACTTGCCTTTCAAGGGATGGAATAAAGGTGTGCACCACCATGCCCATCTAGGGCTTTTGAAACCTTAAAACACACCTCCAGTGGCACACTCTCTCCAACAAGACCACACATAATTCTTTGAAATAGTGCTACTCTCTGGTGACCAAGCATTCAAATCCATTAGCCTAAGGGAGCCATTCTCATTCAAACCACCACAATTAGTAATCTTTGATTGGATATCTCTACAGGTTGTTTTTGTTTGTTTGTTTGTTTGTTTGTTTGTTTTTCCAACATGATACAAACCTAGACATATCTCAGGAAACGGACTCTTAATTAAGAAAATGCCTCTGTAAGACTGGCCAGAAATAGAAAGCCAGTATCCCTTTCCCCATGGCTTCTGCTTTGATTTCTGCCTCCAGCTTACTGCCTTGAGTTCCTGCCCTTACTTCCCTCATTGATGGACTGTGACTTTCGAGTTGTAAAATGAAAAATAAACCCTTTCCTCCTCAGGTTGCTTTTAGTTATGGAGTTTATGACAACAATACAAATCCTAAGTAAGTATCTAACACTGTGATTTAATTTTTTATTTTTTGGTAGGTAAGTGTATTGCTGTTCCAAATGTGTTTTACTCAGGACTCCACCAGGTTCCATTTGAATTCTTCCCCCCGTGCTGTTGTCTAGAAACTGAAGATACTAATGGTTGACATTAATAGGGGTTGCTTTTCTGTTTCTCATCTTTTAGGAACTATTGACTTTTGCTGATTGATGTGTCTTAAAAGCTGTTATTTTTGGTATTTTATCTTATTTGTTCTATTTTATTTATTCATTTATTGATTGGTTGATTGATTGGTTTTCTTGAGACAGGGCTTCTTTGTCTAGCCTTGGCTGCCCTGGAACTTGCTCAGTAGACCAGCCTGACCTTAAACTCACAGAGATCCACTTGCCTCTGCCTCCCAAGTACTGAGAGTAAAGGCACATGCCACTGCTGCCCAGTCTTATTTGCTTTTTAACTTTCTTTAGTGTAAGGACAAATCTGGTCCCTGTTACACTATTTTGGCAGTGGCAAATGTCCTGCCTACCAGAACTTTTAGCCTGAGCCTGTTCTTTTGCTGGGGTTCTTACAGAAAATGTCTTACTATTTCTCATTTCTTTTTGAGAGTCCATTTAAATAGGTGATTAGAAGGTAAGCTCGGGTTCCCAATCCCACTGGTCCCCAGTTCACCTGTGAAATCTGTTCTGTTTCCCCTTCCCTGGGAGATTCTCCTTCCCATCCCAATCCCTTCTTTACTTAGTTTCTCTGGGTCTGTGGACTGTAGCATGATTGTCTTTTACTTTACAGCTAATAACCACTTATGAGTGAGCACATGCTATGCTTGTCTTCCTAGGTTTGGGTTACCTCACTCAGCATGATCTTTTCTAGTTCCATCCATTTGCTGCGAATTTTATGATTTCCTTGTTTTTAATAGCTAATTAATAATCCATTATGTAAATGTACCACATTTTCTTTACCCATTCTTCAGTCGAGGGACATTTAGGTTGTTTCTGGTTTCTGGCTATTATGAATAAAGCTGCTATGAACATAGTTGAGCAAGTGTCCTTGTGGTAGGCTGAAGCATCCTTTGAGTATATTCCCAGGAGAAGTATATGGGGTCTTGAGGTAGATCAATTCACAATTTTCTGAGAAACTGCCATATTGACTTCAGAGTGGTTGTATAAGTTTTTACTCCCACCAGCAATGGAGGAGTGTTCCCTTGCCCTACATCCTTACCAGTATGAGCTGTCAGTTGTGTTCTTGATTTTAGTCATTCTGACAGGTGTACGATGAAATCTCAAAGTCATTTTGATTTACATTTCCCTGATAGCTAAGGATGTTGAAAGTTTCTATAAGTGCTTCTCAGCCATTTGAAATTCCTCTTTTGAGAATTCTGTGTTTAGATCTACACCCATTTTTAAAATTGGACTATTCATTTTGTTGCTGTCTAGTTTCTTGAGTTCTTTATATATATATTGGATATTAACCTTCTGTCAGATGTAGAATTGGTGAAGATCTTTTACTATTCTTATATTTATGGTTGTGAGCCTAGCCTTTAAATGCTGAGCCATCTCTCCAGCCTTTTTTTTTTTACCATTCTTTGGGTTGCCATTTTGTCCTATTGATGGTGTTTTGCCTTGCAGAAGCTTTTCAGTTTCATGAAGTCCCATTTATTAATTGTTGATCATGGTGCCTATGCTATTGGTGTTCTATTGGAAGTTCAGGTTGTATGTTGAGGTCTTTGATCTACTTGGAATTCAGTTTTGTATAGGATGATAAGTATGGATCTGTCTGTATCCTTCTACATACTGACAAGGTGCAGAGGGAGGGAGGGAGAAAATACGGGGAGAAACAGCTAAAATTGGGAGGCATTTCAGGAACAGGTGGAAACCCTAGTGCAATGGAAATCCATGAAATCTATGAGAGTAACATTAGCAAAAACAAAAAAAAAACCTCCTAGTTGGGGGACACAGAGCCTGATTTGGACATGTTCTGTAACCAGGCAAGGCCTCAAGTGGAGGGCTTAAGCCACCAACCCAGCCACAAAATCTTTAACCTATAGTTGGTCCTAGAGTGTGCTGGAACCAGGACCTTGCAGAACCCTCATCAAAGAGACCTGAGAGACTTTATCCAGCAATTGATGGTAGCAGATGCAGAGTCCCACAGCTAAACATTAGGTGGAGCTCAAGGAGTTGTGCTGAGGATGGGGAGGAAGGAATCTGAGGGGTCAGTGACACACTACGGAATCAACTTTCTGAGATTCAGGGATCTTTGAGAGATCAGGAATCTGTACGGATCTGACCTGGTAATACATACATATATGTTATGGCTGATTAGCATGGTGTTCTTGTGGGAATCCTACCAGTGGGAGTGCATGCTGTCCCTGACTCTTGCCTACTTATGGACCCTTCTCCCCACCCCCCCTACTGGGTTGCCTCATTCAGTCTTGATGTCATGTCATATGCCTGGTCTTTTTGTAGCTTGTTATGCTGTGCTTGTTTGATGTCCCTGGGAGGCCTGTTCTTTCCTGAGGGGAGGTGGGGGAGAGGATCAGTGGGGTGGAGTGTGGAGGGAGACTGCAATTGGAATGTAATATATAAGAGGGAAAAGAAAAGAAGATAAACTCAGGTCAACTAGTACAAGCACTTTTTGAAGATGCTCTTGGATTACTAAATTGATTTTGTGATCCCCATTTTGAGGGAATTTCTTGAGTTATTTGAATCAGGAAGCTAATTTTGAAGAACAGTTTTAGAAAATTCGTAAGTATGTTTTGTTTCATACAGACTTAAGAAAAGAAAAGAACAACAGCGCTATGCTGAAGAGCAGAGGCTCCTAAGAATGAACTGTCATGAAGAACCTTATTCAGAAGAGAAGATAAGTGGTGTTTTAGCCCAGCTACACCTTGAAGAAATAAAAGGAGCCAGAGAAAAACAACACAAGAGAGAAAAGGAATATGAAAGGTGATTTTAAACATTGTGCCTGAATTTCTGGCTCAGAAGGGACCTAGTTGAAAGGCTTTCTCATATTCCTTAACAGACTTGGTTTAGCCTGGTGGTGGTGGCCCAAGTCTTTAATTTTAGCACTCAGGAGGCAGTGTTAAGTGGATCTTTGAGTTTGAGGCCAGCCTAGTCTACATAGTGAGTTCCAGGACAGCCAGGCCTACACAGAGAAACCCCGGCTCACAAAAATGAAAGAGTGAGACAGAGACATTGTATGTCTTCTCATACTTTTCCTTATTTAGTGTGCATACTCCAGTACTGTTTTGATTAGCTAGGACGTCTTTTTTCCTAGAGCCATTTCCCACTGCCTAGGAAAACTAGAGGTACAGAGCAGAGAAAGCTGGCTATAACATCAGAATTTATGCTTATTCTCCTCCTAGTAGTTGATTTACCTGGCTACACTGTGTTTTTATAGATATGTAGAAGCTTTACGAGCTCAGGTCCAGGAGAAAATGAAGCTTTATAACATCACTTTACCTCCATTATGCTGTTGTGGTCCTGATTTTTGGGATGCTCATCCTGATACCTGTGCAAACAACTGCATTTTCTATAAAAACTATAGAGGTAAGTTTCTTAAGGAAAAGTTGAGTTCTGAAGCAGTTAACATAAATATTTCTATATGTTTATATAAATATATGTAGTGATTGTGGTAATTTAGAATTTATTGAGAACTTATTATATATATGAGAATTATATTTGTACCTTTATAAAACAATTTTTGTAAGACAAGAACAATTACGGTTTCTGATTGGTCCTGTTTATGGTGGAGAAGCATTTTCAGCTCATCACACTATACAGAAGAAGATCCTCCCTTAATTGAACACTATTAAGAGTTTTTCTATAAACTATAATTAATATAAAAAATTAAAAAAAGAGTTTTTCTTTACTAGGCAGTGGTTGTGCACACATTTAATATCAGCACTTGGAAGACAGAGGCTGGCAGATCTCAGTGATTTAGAGGCCAGCCTGGTCTACAGGGTGAGTTCCAGGCTAGCTAGGGATACACAGAGAAATCCTGTCTCAAAAACCAGACAAACAAAAAAATAAGGAGGGAAGGAAAGAAAGAATAGTTTGTCCTTTTTGACTAAATTAGGAGTCTGTTATCCACATACTATAATGGTGTAAAATACAGACTTATTAGTGTATAGCCATATTAGACTGTCAGTTCTGCTGGGGACACCAAGGAAGATGAAACTCTGTATCAAGAGCCTAAGACAGAGAGTAGAATCCTTTCTGTAGTCACTAATGTTTTCTGTCCAGCCCTGAGTACTGATTTATTGAACATAGGAACTTTTTCAGCCTCACATAAACACTGAAAATGATGCCATTATTTATATTTTTGGTGTGTTTCATCTGTGTGAGATGGAGATAAATTTATCAATCCTATGAGTTACTTTAAAACTTCTCATGATAACGTGAAATTCATGAAATTATTTTATATACTTTTCTCTGGTCTCAGGCTGCTCTCCAGCTTTATCAAACTTCCTCTTACACTTTTTGCATCTCATACACTTAGTTCTCTACCTGTAGTGCCTTTTTTTCTTTCCTCCTTTTCCCCAAAAGCCCACTTTAAATGGCACAGCTTCTCATATCTATTCAGTGTTCCCTAGTTCATTCATACCTACCTTCATATTATGACATTTTGTATATGCCTATGGTGTGGAAGCCCTTCGCTGCATTATTTTTGTTACCAATTTCTATATTCTCTTTTCTTTCCTTATGGAGTATTTGCTCTATTGTAAGTACTCAATAGGTTATTCGTGGCTAGAATTAATGCCTATGGCATTTTGGGTAAAGAAGCAGTACTAATAGGAAAAAGAAGTAGCTATCGTGGATAAAATCTAACTTTACTCATTATTCAAACCTTCATTTGCAGCATATAATCGGGCATTGCATTCAGTCATCAATTCTTCTGATATCTCCGAGGGGAACACAACTCTTCGAAATGCCATTCGTAATTTTGCTTCTGCACATAGACGGACTTCAAAAAAAAGTCACCAATAAGAGTATGAAATCAGTGCCATGACCGGTAGTATTTCCACCTTCATTTAAAATCAACCACAGAAAATTATTTGGGAAAGGCTGTTAAAATGTGCAAGATAAATTATCTGAAAGGAAAGCAATTCCACGTAAGAACTGTCTTGGACAGTTATAACTAGATATCTGTCTTGGAACCAACATTGAAAGTTTACTGCTAAACTTGTCTCTTCTTTGGATTGAACCATGTGGAACCTGTTTTTTGTTTTTTTGTTTTGGTTTTTTTTTTTTTTTAAGTGATTATAAAAGATTTCTCTAGTTTTTGCTGGATTTTAAAAAAATGTCTTTTAAGCTTTCTTTTTTCTTTGTCTAATTAGAGAAACTCATGAGAAACCTTTGACATTATCTTACATCCTTTTAAAATTGTACTGTTTTGTTTTGTTTTGAGACAGGGTTTCTCTGTGTAGTCTTGGCTGTCCTGGACTCACTTTGTAGACCAGGCTGGCCTGTAGCTCATAGAGCTCTGCCTGCCTCTGACTCCTCGAGTGCTGGGATTATAGGCATGCACCACCGTGCCTGGCTTCACATTATTTCTTGATGCCAAATTTGAAATGGCAGGGATTAAGAGATGGCTCAGAGGTTAGGAGCACTGGCTGCTCTTCCAGAGGTCCTGAGTTCAATTCCCAGCAACCACATGGTGGCTCAAAACCATCTATAATGAGATCTGGTGCCCTCTTCTGGTATGCAGGATACATGCAGACATGTATACATAATATACAAATCTTTAAAAAAAATTGAAATGACTGAAAACAGCACTTGGGGGCTGGAGAGATGGTTTGGTGGTTAAGAGCACTGCTCTTCCAGAGGACCCTGGTTTAATTCCCAGCGTCCTCATGGCAGCTCATAACTGTCTATAACTCTAGTTCCAAGGAATCCAGCACCTTTACACAGACACACATGCAGTCAAAACACCAGTGCAGATAAAATAAAAGCAAATTAAAGAAAATTTAAAAAAACAAAACCCAGCATTTAGACTATGTCATAAAACAAAATAAAGGCCTATACTCCTAGCCAGGCTATTGAAAAAGAGTCAAAGTTACATGAATGATAAGACTGACCACTTATTTAACTACATTAATTAATTACCCAGTTTAGTGAGAGTCCTTGAAGTAAGTATATATTTTCTTTCGTCTTAAAGAATTAAATTTTAATAGCGCTGTTTAGATCTAATTTACATCTACACAGGCCCCCCCAAACACAATTTAATGATTTTTACTACAATTTAGTGATTTTTCCACACCATTACTAAGAAAACACCATGATCTAGCAGTCCTACTTATGAGTTTATATGCAAAAGAATTAAAAGTAAGATCTGAAGTAGAGGCTTGCACACTTTATGTGTAGTAGCTCAGAATACTCTGTCTGTTGATGGAGAGATGGATTAAAAGTATATACACACTTGAAGCAGAAGGGTTTTTAGGCTTCCAAAAGGATTCCTGTTAACCTGTTTCGACATGGTGCTAAAATGAAATAAATCAGTCACAAAAAGACAAGTATTATATGATGCTGCTTATGTTAGATCCAGAAAGTGGTGAGACTTTGGAAACAGAAAAATAGTGCTTGCTAGGAGGTAAGAGGAAATGAGGCATTGTCATTTAATGGTACAGAATTTTAGTTTTTCTGGATTAAAATGTCCTAGAAGTCTGTTTTCACAAAGTGTGAATATGCTTAACTATTGATCTGTACATATAAAATGTTACAGTGCTAAAGTTTAGTCTGTGATTTTTTTAATCTTTTAAAAAATATTTCATTTAAAAATTTTTAATTATTATTTGTCAGAGGGGTATCCGATCACCTGGGGCTGGAGTTACAGGCAGTTGTGATCTGTCTGATGTAGGTACTGAGAATTGAACTCTGTTCCTCTGCAAAAACAGTATGTGCTCTAAACCACTAAGCCATCTCTCCAGCCCCTAGCTAATGTGACTTTTTTAATGTATTAAAAAAATTGCCTTCAAAAACATTACAGTTTATTCACTTTGTATCCCAGTTCTAGCCCCCTCCCTCATCTCTTCCCAGTCCTACCCTCCCTCTCTCTTCCTCCCCTAGTCCACTGATAGGGGAGGTACTCTTCCCCTACTGCCTGACTTTAGCCTTTCAGGTCCCATCAGGACTGCCTGGATCCTCTGGGAGAAGTGATCAAGGAGCAGGCAACTGAGTTCATGTCAGAGACTGTCTCTTTTCCCCTTACTAGAGAACCCCTATGGAGAAAGAGCCATCTATGGGCTACATCTGAGCAAGGGGTCTAGGACCTCTCTATGCAAGGTCTTTGGCTGATGCATCAGTCTCTGCAGAAGCCCCTGTGCCCAGCTTTTTTGGCTCTGTTGGCTTCCTGTCCTCTCTGGGTCCTTGTATATCCCCCTTCTTCCATAATATTTCCTGCATTCTACCCAAAGTTTAGCTGTGAGTCTCTGCATCTGCTTCGATTCCCTGTTGGTTGGAGTCTCTCAGAGGGTATCTATGGTAGGCCCCCATCCTGTTTCCTTCTTTCTGCAGCATCTGTTGTCTATCCTTGTGAATGAGAATTAAGTAGCCTTCCTGGGGTCCTCCTTGTTGTTTAGCTTCCTTAGGCCTGTAGATTTAAGTATGTTTATCCTATATTATATGGCTAATATCCACTTATAAGTGAGTATATACCATGTATGTCTCTCTGCTTCTGCTGTACTTCACTTAGGATGATCTTTTCTATTTCTGTTTGCCTGAAAATTTCATGATTTCCTTGTTTTTAATAGCTGAGTAGTATTCCACTGTATAATTGTATCACAATTTCTGTATCCTTTCTTCAGTTGAGGGACATCTGGTTTGTTTCCAGATTCTGGCAATTACAAATAAAGCTGCTATGAACATAGTTGAGCAAATGTCCTTGCTGTATGGTTGAACATCTTTCGGGTATATGCCTGAAAGCTTGGTCTTGAGGTAGCACTATTCCTAGTTTTCTGAGAAAGTGCCAAATTGATTTCCAAAGTGACTGTATAAAGTTTACATTCCCACCAGCAAGGCAGGAGGGTTCCCCATTCTTTACATCCTCTCCAGCATGTGTTATTCTAGAGTTTTTTATCTTAGCCATTCTGATGAGTGTAAGATGGAATCTCAGAGTTGTTTTGATTTGCATTTCCCTGATGACTAAGAATGCTGAACATTCTGTCAAACATACAAAAACAGCAGAACACTGAAAATTGTGCTCAGGTTTGAAGGGCTCTTGAGCTTTTGTTAATTCAGTGTTTCTTGACTCACAATGAAGAACTCTGCAGTTCGTCTAAAAATTAGTGTATATCCACTGTACATAACTTAAGAAAAAAAAAACTTCTCATGCTAACTTCTCTTTTTCAGAGCTAAAGAATATCAGCAAAATGCTATGTCACAAAGAAAACCACAAGACATCCTGAAGTTATTGGACGCCATCATACTGTCCGCAGATCCAGCCTTACAGTACATGCCTTGAACTATAGCCCTTCCAAAAGGCATTTTCCTCACGCCAAGCAAGAAGCATCAAGAGTTTGTTTTTGTTGCTTTGTTTACTTTACAAATTACAGATAATGTCTAGTTTTCAGCTTGGGGTTTACAGCCAATAACCATGCTAATATCACTTCACAAACTGAAAACAAAGTGCCAGAAATATGTTCAGTTGCCTTGTCATACCAAAAGCAAATACAAAATGAGGAGAACACAAGAGCACCTTTCCATTTTAAAATGTTTGAAAACATTTTCAAACTGTACAACTGTACAACTTTAATACAGTTTCAGAAGCTCCAGACACACATGTCCACTTGATGTAAACCCAAGGCTTTGAGTAGCTGCAGTGTGATTGTGGTCAGATCCTAAATAAAACCCAATGAGGACAATAGACACAGCTCAGATAATATGTGTTGATCATGCTCCTCCTCTCTCTATGGTATTTGCAAGGAGACAGATAAACATTCTTTTTTAGCTGAGCATAGTGGTACATGTCTATAATCCCAGTATTATGGAGGCTGATGCAAGAGGATCAGGAGTTTGAGGCCAGCTGGGTTACATAAAACTCTCAAAAAAATTTTAAGCCAAATAAAATAGTTTTTCCTTTTGCTGCTGTTGCTGTTTCTCATCTTCTTTTTCCTCCTTTTTGTGAAATTCAATGGACCCTTTTTACCATCAGACTTTCCTTTCAATTATTACTTATGACATCCTTCTTATATTTTTCCTTCTGCTTCAATACCTTCCTGATGCATGGCTGCTTTTCTCTGCTACTGAAGCTGTTCAGCATCTCACTCAACTTTTGGGTTTGTTTACCCATATCTACAAATAGAGCCCCAGGATTTGTGGCTTTGATCTTGGGTCAGAGTTCTGAACAAAACAAGAAGAATTCAGATAATAGTCTTTGGGCAGTAGTAGTGTCCTTTTCCTTCAGGCGTCCTGCAGGCTAGTCCACAGTCCTTCATTTCCCAAATGTAGTATGTTTTGTCCAACTTTGCCACTTCATTAGTTTTAAATTTCCCTTCCCAGAAGCTGTCTCCATTTCTCAGAGCACTTAGTAAATCCTTCAATATTGAGAAAGCTCTCTGGCTTTTCTTCTTGTGGTCTTTGCCTGTCTATATAAAGAGGGCATAAGCAGTCATAAGCCCTTTGGTTTCTTGGGGTTACCTTTAGCCATGCTGACATATTGTTTTCTAGAAAGCACAGAGCACAATATGAGGCTTCCTGACCTCACACTAGTGCTTCCGTGACAACCAACTCTGACATGATTGTTACTAATTAAAAATGTTAACAATAAAAGATAAGAAACCCATAATAGCAATTGCTCTTAAGTCTTCCCACTCTAAAAATCCCTTTCCAATCCTAGGTAACCATTACTTTATTCCTTCTATATGTAAATTAGCCTATATGTGAATTCTCTTCTAAGTGGAATGTACAATGTGAGCTCTTTTGTGACTGAACTTTTTTCAGTTAGCCTGATGTCGAGGCTTCTCTGTGTTGTCATATTCATTAATGGTTCATTACTCTTCATTGTTGAATAGTATTGATAGTAATAGTAATAATAAAACCATATTTATTCATTCATCAGCTGGTACACATTTACATTTTTCTACTTGGTTATTATGAATTTTGCTATGAGCAGTTGTTCTTGGGGTTCTGTAGGTACATGTTTGCATTTTATTCATGGTATATAAGAGTAAAATTCCTGAGTCACATGGTAGCTTTTGTGTTTAACCTTTTGAGAAACTACAAACTCTTTTCCAAAATAGCTGTACCATTTTTTTCATTCCCTAGAATTTGTAAAAGTTTGTGTTCTTCACCAACACTCATCTCTCATCAGGTGGCTGTCATGTGAAATTTCACACTGGCTTTACTTTCCTCATGGCAGTTGATGGTGATCACTTTTTCTTCATGAGCCTGTTGGCTGTGTGGGTCTATCTTTTGAAGATGTTTAACAGATACTTTGCCAGCTTTATGATTGGGTTGTCCTTTTATTACAGAATTAGGAGAGCCCCTAATGTATCCTACATGTGGATCCTTTATCAACTGTATCATTTCTATTTTCTCCCATTCTGGGGATTATCTTTTCACCTTTGTGTGTGTGTGTGTGTGTGTGTGATTTTGAGACAGGGTCCCACTGTAGTTCTGGCTGTCTTGGAACCTACTTTGGAGATCAGATACCAGGATGGCTTTGAACTCACCAAGATCTGTGTGGCTTTGTCTACCAAATGCTGGGACTAAAAGGTGTAATACCTCCTTTTCACTTCCTTAATAGTTTCTGAAGCTTGCAGGACACACTTAAATTTGATGAAATCACACTTATATACTTTGTGGTTTATGCTTTTGCTATAGTCTGAAAAGCCATTACTAATTCAAGGCCATAAGTGTTTATCTTACGTGTTCTGTTACAATTCTTAAGTGTTTTTTTAGTTAGAGTTACTCTCCAGTTTGAGCTACTGTGTGTGACACTTCATTCTTTTACATGTGAATAAATAGCATCCCACTATCACTTGTTAAAGACTCCCAATTGCCACATAGAATTGATTGTAAATATGAGAGTTTACTTGTAAAATCTTAGTTCTGCTCCATTCATTGATGTGTGTCTCCTTATACATAATATTTCTGGAGTACTATAACTTTGTGATAAGTTTAGAAGTTGACGATTATGAACCCTTCATCTTTGTTCTTTTTAGAGGTAATTTTACTCTTTTGAGTCTATGCATTTTCATATGAGTTTTAAGGTCACTTTCCTACCAAAATCAAAACAAAAACGCAAAAGAGTAGCTAGCTGCGTTCTGATAGGGAAAATACTAAATTGTTGATTAATTTGGGAATATTTGCTGTCTGACCCATGACCATGGGATAAGCACTCATGTGTCTGTCTTTAATTTTACTTGGTTGTGCTTTATATTTACAGAGGACAAAAATTACATGTCAGTTAAAATTGTTCCTAAGTATTACTTTTGATATTACTGTAAATGAAATTCCCTTTTTTTTCTTTTTTTTTTTTTTCCTCCCCCTTTGAGATGGGGTCTTATGTAACCCAGGCAGGCTTCAAACTCAGTATGTAGTCAGGAATGACCTTGAAGTCCTGAGGTCCTCTCCTGTTTCCATTTCTTGAGTGCTGAAATTATAGGCATGTATTATCACACCCACTTCATGGGGTAGGGATTGAACACAGGGTTTTGTGAGGACTGAGCAAGCAATTGCGCTACATCCTCAGTCCAGAGTTTTATTTTTAATTGTTAGACAGATACACTGGATACTACTGCTTATGTGTGGAGGTCAGAGGACAACTTCAGAAGTTGTTTTCCTCCTGCTGTGGGATCCAAGGATACACCTCATATTGTCAGGCACTAGGCACTTATATCCACTGAGCCATCTCTCCAGTCCCGCCCAAGAATATGTTGGATCTTGTCATCTTAAAATAGAATCTCACTTCCAACTTAGCCTTTTTCTTTTTCTTGTATAATTACTTATCTTGTTACTGGTTACAACATCCTGCACAAAATTGTGCAGTACTTTAAGAGCAAAGAATTTTTTAGTCATTATGGCATTTATCATGTTTGATGAAGTTCCCTTTTATTACCAGCTTACTGAGTGTTGTTATCCTGGAATTGTTAGAATTTTGCCTGAACCTTTTTCTGCATCTAATATTATCATGTGTTATTTGAAGGTTTTGTTTTTGTTTTCTCCTTCTTTTTGGTGTTTTGGATCAGGGCCTTTGCCATATAGAATAAGCCTGCTTCAAATTTATGCTCTTGCCTCAACAACAACAACAACAAAAAATTGGTTTTATTTGGTTTTCTTGTGTTAATGCAACTTTGCTTTCCTAGGTTATGTTGTACTTGCTTTTGTTTCTTTGCTTTTGTTTTTTTTTTGTTTGTTTGTTTGTTTTGTTTTTTTCTGAAATAGGTGATTTGACTTATCTGATCTCAAGTTAATAGAATTATGATAAAAATTGGGCCATTGAATATCATTAGAAAACTTGAAGTCTTTTAACTCTATAAATGAGTTTCAAGATCGATGTCTTAGTCAGTGTTCTATTGCTATGAAGAGACCATGACTACAGCAACGTTTATAAGGGAAAACATTTAATTGGAGCTGGCTTGCATTTTCAAAGGTTCAGTCTATTATCGTTATGGTGAGAAGTATGGTGGCACACAGGCAGATATGGTGATGGAGAAAGAGCTAAGAGTTCTACATCCAGATAGTCAGCAGGAAGAGAGGATTTGAAATCCCAAAGCCACCTCAGTGACACACTTCCTCCAACAAGGTCACTCCACCTGACAGTGCCGCACCCCAGTAGCTGAGCATACAAATCCATGAGCCTGTGGGGCCATTCTTAGTCAAACCACCACAGATGTTCTTGCACTGAAGTTTGGTCATATGTTCACAGTGCCCAGTGGTTGTATCTTTGTGGATTACAGAAGTCCGAGAGAAGTAGCATTGATCAGAGAAGAAGCCCAGGTCTAACCTGTCACACATGGTGGCAGTGTGGTAAATTCTATTTGGAGTGATAAATGTGCTTTGGAAGGACAGTTGGAATCTGAAGTTCTTGTTTTGTCCCTAAACTTGCAAGACTGTTGTCCTGGCTAGTCTTGTAACTACTTGACTCAAGTTGGAGTCACCAGAGAGGAGGAAGCCTCAATTGAGAAAATGTCTCCATAAGATCAAGCTGTAGGCAAGTCTGTAGAACATTTTCTCAATTAGTGATGAATGGCGGAGGGCCCAGTCTAAGCCATCTCTGGGCTGGGGGTCCTGAGGTCTCCAACAAAACAGACTGAGCAACCTAGGAGCAAGACAATAAGCAGCTTCTTCCATGGCCTCTGCAGCAGCTCCTGCCTCCAGGTTTCTGCCTTAAATTTGAGTTCTGGTCCTGACTTCCTTTGATTATAAACTATGATGTCGAAGTATAAACAGAATAAACCCTCTCCTCCCCAACTTGGTTTTGGTCATGGTGTTACATTGGAACAATGAAAATCCTGACTAAGACAATTGTTAAATCAAAATTTACAGGGTAGATTTTAATCACCTTTTTAGCTAGCAAAGACCTTTAAGAAAGAAGAGGCTGAATGATAAAATCTGATTATAAAGAGATGGATTTTGATTTGTAGAGTAGGAATAGGGTTTGAGGATGAGGAAAACTACATTTGGACCCAGAATTTAAAGTAGAGTGTGGTTGGGGAATATATCTCCGAGTGTTTAGCATATTTAAGGTTGGGAGTTTGATCTCAGTACAGAATAAGTGTGTGAGTGAGTGCTTAACTGAATAGATAAATAAGGAGGGTAAATGGGAGGCATTTAAGTTGGAAAAGACTGAATAAGAATGAATGCTGGGTGTCAGTGATTAAGAGCACTGGCTGCTGTTCCAGAGGGCCTGTGTTCAAGTCCCAGCATCACAAGGTAGCTCATAATCATCTGTATTATGAGCTAGGGGTTCTGATGCCCTCTTCAGGCCTCTGTAGGCACTGCATGCTCATGGTGCACAGACATACATGCAGGGGAGCACTCAGACACAAAACATTTTTTTTTAAATTTCTTTAAAAAGTAAGAGAATCAATACTTCTTGCATAACTCTGTTCATATTTTCTCTAGGTATTTCCTCCTCACTATTATTTGATGACAAGGCTTTCTGTATGCATGAAAAAATAGACAAAGGGGAACTTCCACAACTCCTGTCATCATATCTACGCACCTGCCTGTCCATACTCAATCCTGCTACTGTGGAGCTTTTATCCTATCCCATCCTGTGGTTAAAATGAGTTTCCTCCTGTCTCCTCAAAGGCACTGCCTCAGGACCTCTCCTTACTCATCATTATTTTTTCCCACACCAGGCATGGTGGTACATGCCATTAATCCTAGCACAGAGGAGATAGCAGCAGGCAGATCTCAAGAGTTTGAGGACAGCCTGGTATACAAAACAAGTTCCAGGACACCCAAGGCTTCACAGAGAAACCCTGTCTCAACACAAAATTTCCTAGCTATTAAAATACGCCTGTAGTTATACAGACCTGTTGTAATTTGTTCCATATTAAAAACCAGCCAAGCAGGGTGTCATGGCGCACACCTTTAATGTCAGCACTCAGGGAGGCGGAGGCAGGTGCATCACTGTGAGTTCGAAGCTAGCCTAGTCTACAAATCAAGTCCAGGACAGCCAACACTACACAGAGAAATTCTATCTCCAAAAACTGAAAAACAAAAACACCTCAAAACAAAGACAGCCAACTTAAAAAATAGAGAAAAAAGAGGGGAAAACAACATGGTTTACCTGACATATTCTTTCAGTTACTACTAAACTTACTTTAGTAGTTTGCTTCCCTTTAAAATAAGAAAACGTTCTTCAAATTGGGTGTGGTGGTGCGTGCACTAGGGAGGTTGAGGCAGGTGAACCCTGTGTTCCAGGCCAAAGTCACCAGTGGCTTCTATATTGCCAAATCCAAAGGTTATTTTCAAACTTCATCCTAATTATCAACAGAATTTAACATAAGTGATCTATTATTTTTTTAAGGGCCTTTACTGGCTTTCCCACCACCAAAGTTTTTCTTGCAGCTTCAAATGGCTGTTGCTTCTTAGTTTCTTTC